AAAAAAAAAAAAAAAAATCACTAGTCACAGGGCTTCCCTGGTGCTGCAATGGTTAAGAATCCGCCTGCCAATGCAGGGGACACGGGTTCGATCCCTGGTCCAGGAAGATCCCACATGCCGTGGAGCAAATAAGCCCGTGCGTCACAACTACTGTGCCTGTGCTCTAGAGCCTGCAAGCCACAACTACTGAAGCCCGTGTGCCACAACTACTGAAGCCTGCGCACCTAGAACCTGTGCTCCGCAACAAGAGAAGCCACAACAATGAGAAGCCTGCACACCGCAACAAAGAGTAGGCCCCACTTGCTGCAACTAGAGAAAGCCAGCGGAAAGCAACAGAAGACCCAGTGCAGCCAATAAATAAATTAATTAATTAAAAATAAATCTATTAAAAAAATCACTAATCATGCCAAGAAGCAGGACATGTGACCTATAAGCAGGAGAAAAAATCAATTAATAGAAGCAGATCAGATATGACAGAGATGATGGAATTAGCAAATGCGGAAAACATGCACATAGTAATGAGAGAAATGGAAGACATGAGAAAGAACCAAGTGAAGCATCTAGAGATGAAAAATAAAATATTTTAAAGAAAAATTTTACTGAATGGAATTAACAGCATATTCGACACTACAGAAAAAAAAATACCATTTAAACTTGAGGAAATAGCAAAAGAAACTAGCCAAAATGAAGCACGGAGAGAAAAAAACTGGTAGAAAAGAAAAGAACAGCATCGGACTTTGGTAACCTGTAGGACCATATCAAGTGGTCTAACATACATGTAATTGGAATCCCAGAAGGTGGATGCTGGGGCCAAATAATAAAAATACATACTAATGATTAGAATTCCACCTCTAAAAAAGGATTAGCCCTGCTCCCAAAACCATTTTATACCATTTATGACATTAACTATTCGTATATTGAACATAGGGTATGTATATCACTGAGAGTCAGATTGTCACTGCAGTCTGGTATTGAGAATATGGGCTCAAATCATAATCCAAAATATTCTTTCCCTCAAGTATTTTTTGAATTCTCAGAAAATGAGCAGATATATCAAACAACTCTGACCAAGGTGAACAAGTATGGTCATATTGTGACTCTGTATTACATGTGGTGGTTTCCTGACAGATGCTGCCTGATTTGACCCCTTTCTCTGCTCCACTCCATACTCTGTCCACTTACTCCTGATCTCTCTGCCATAGAAACCAGTAATTGAGTAAAGTTCAGAGATGAGCTAACAAATGTTTGTTTCACATTTCATTGACCATACACACACACACACACACACACACACACACACACACATATACACTGTTTTTTTTTCCTTTGGCCTCACTGCTTGCAGGATCTTAGTTCCCTGACCAGGGATCGACTCTGGGCCCATGGCAGTGAAAGCTCCGAGTCCTAACCACTGGACCACCAGGGAATTCCTGATAATACATTTTTAAAGTTGTAAGTTTAATAGATTGTTTCTTAAAATGCCATCACATCAAAAGGGCTGCATGAAAATGCATAGTATCATGTAAGCTATAGGAAAGGAATGTTTCAAAACTCTGGGGTGGTCAACAGTGTCCCCTGCTGATGTGTACACTAGATTTAGCCCCAAGGTAGTGATTGGTGACTTTGCCAAGAGGTCTCAATAGAGTGGTGGGAATAGAAGTCAGAATCCAGTGGTTTGAATGGCGATAGGAAAGGAAAAAGTAAGTAAAGCCTCTGAGTTGGTACAAATCCTTTAAGGAGCCTTGTAAAGGAGACAGGAAATAGGGGATGGTAACAGAAGGGGGGCATATTGTTAAACAAGAGTCTCCTTAAAATAGGAGAAACTCATGAGTGTTTAAGTCCCTGCTTAGAAGCCAAATCCACACTCCATTTCTGGACAACAGGAGCTCCAGGCCCCCAAGTCAGTTTGTTTTGTTGAACCCAGACTTGGCTTTTCACAAGACCCTAAAGCAGGCTGTACACCCAGTGAGAAGAGGTGGGGTCCTCCAACAAAGGAAGGTTGGGTTCCACTAAACTAAACTAAACAAATAGTGATGCAACCCACTCCTGGAACCATTCCCAGTGGTGCTACCCAAGGTGGGCATGTGGTGGGGAGTCCCAGTGGGTGGAGAGGGGCTCTATGCAGGAATAACTGAGGCAGGGTAAGCCTGGAGACTGGGTTGCCTCAACCTGTGCCCAAGATGACCAGCCACCTGCCTGCTTCCCCAGCCACTTGCCTGCTTCCTGACAGAGATTAGAAGAGGAACTGCCACCTGCCACCTTTGGACAATTGTCATGACAACTGTAGACCAGGTTATTTTATTACAATCATTGCCTAGGAGCGGTCCTCCCACATGTCCTGTTTTCCAATGTTATGAGCTCATTATTTTACAGCTTTTCCCCTGCCTTGATCTTTGCCCTGAGGTGTCTGAGATATGAGACTTTTTATGTAAGGGCACAACAGTCTGAAATTGAAACTGATCCAGAGAGGGATGGTGCTGGCAGGAATGAAGGGCAGTTGGAGATGTCCTGCAAGGTGAGAGTACACATAGGCCAAGAAAGTTTGCCTCTCCTGTTCCCAGTTCTAGGGCATCTCTCTCCCCTCTGCGAGTGGCCCAGGATGCTGCCAGGGACACCATCAACACTTGGACCAAACCAACACATGACACAGTGAGACTCACAAGACAGCCTGGGCCACATGCATCACTCTTCCCCTCCCCCAACCACAGGACCACTGACACAGCCCTTACCTGGAAGAATCACAAGCCCTTGCTGCCCCCAAAAGAAAAGAGAGGATCTGAGTAAGGAAGGAGAGAAACAAGGACCATGGCATGTGGACAAGGAGGACTCTGGTCTCTGGCTTGGTGCGTGGTTCTCGCCAGCCACACGCTACAATCAGCAGTGGAGCTTATGAAAAAGACCAGTGCCTGGGCCCCACCCTAGTAGATTGAAATTCAGTTGAAATGCAGCTGGGCCATCGGATTATAACTGAAGTACTTCAGGTGTGGAGAACCACTAGCAGCTTGAATAAATGCTCAGGCGCTACAGGCAGAGCCCCAACTGCAGCTCCTGGTCCCTGGGCTCCCTAGTGGTGTGACCTTGGGCTAGTTACTCAACATTTCTAAGCCTCCATTTCCTCCACAGTAAACCATACCTACCTAATGGACTCGTGGGGAGGGCTGAATGAAATAACACAAGTCAGGTGCTGGGCACTGTGCCTAGTGCAGAGTTAAGTGCTCAAAATGTTATTCTTGTTGTTGGAGCGGCATTTGTTACTACAGTAGGATCCCGATTAGGAGGTATCTAGGTAAAAAAAAAAAAAGGCTACTCTCCCAGGGTGAGGTTGAGGGGAGTCAGTCAGAGCCAGGGCCAAGGCTAGGTCAGGTGCTGGTATTAGCGTTCACTATTGATCACTTTGACATTCTAGTCCAGCACTATCTGCTCTGAGATGATGGAAATGTTCTGTATCTGTGCTGGTAACTTGGTAGCCACTAGCCACCTGGATGTATGGGGCACTTGAAATGTGGCTAGTGTGAGTGAAGAACTGAACTTTTAATTTTCATCAGTTTAAAGTTAAATAGCTACACATGGCTGCCAGCTACAGGAATGAACAATGTCGCTCTAGTCGTGTATGTGTGTTGAGGTTGAAAGTAAATAAAGACATAAAATAAAGAAAAATAACTCCTCTACTATCTCACCTGAGCCTCAAAAAGTCCTACGAAAGGGATACGACAGGCATTGATAGCCCCGTTTTATAGATTAGAAAACTAAGTCTCAGGGATGTTAAAAGACCTGCCCCAGATTATGTAGAGAGTGAGAGGCAGAGCCCAGACCAGAGGGAGGCAGATTTCAGGACTGCAAACCCATGCTTCACCTGTGGGGAAAAACTTTGTCTCCGTGGGAGCATCTCTCATCTGCCCTCCAGCTCCTCCTGAGGCCTCAGAGCAGGCTCTCTCCCGGTCCCCCGGCCCACAGTGTCTTACCCACCTGGAAGAGATCCTGAACATGGGAGTCCACCCACTGCTCCATCTCCAGCCAGCTCTGGAGCTGCCCCCGGTCATACTTCATCGTCAGCCGGCTGAGTTTCCGGGACCTGGACACTTTGGAGGGGTCGGACTGGGACTTTGAGTCTGTGGATGACGTCCTCCTCCTCCCAGAAGCCCACTGGACCTTCTTACTTGGATTCTCCTTGTCCGGGTTGGGAGATGTGCAGGAAGCAGGGCTTGAAGACAGCATGGAAAGATTGGTTTGGTCAAGGAGCTGGGAAAAACTGCCAGTCAGAGCAAGAGAGCCAGGGAATGAGACAGAACAGAGGGCGAGGCCAGCAGGGAAGAAAGGAGGGCAGGCAGGAGGGAGGGCCAAGGCTCCTGGAGTGGTGGGGGTCAAAGATCAACAGGCCTTAGTCTAGTGCTGGGAATGCCAGTCTTCTGGCTCCTGGCTGCTGGTGAGTGGCACTCCTGAGCCGTGCCCCGGCCTCCCTTTCTGCAGCTGCTGGGACCGAGTGATATACCAAGCAAAGGTCAAGAGGATGCCATGCCTCCGGAGGAGGAAGAGGCCCTTGGGTCCTGAGGCGTGCGGGGCTCTGAACTGAGTCATACTCACCTGAGAGCCCTCAGCGTCCCACTTTCCTGGCCTAGATCCACCTGGGCCCCCAGAAGCTGCGGTCACATGGATTCTGCAGCAGTGGGGTCCCTGGCTGGCAAGGGCTCCTGCTCAGAGAGTGGTGCTGCTGATGGCAGAGTCGCCTCAGGGATAATTAGAGGGGTGGTTATCTCTGGCCCTAATGGGGTCAGTATCCTCTTGTGTCTGAGTATGAGCTGCCTTTAGGGATGTGAGGGAAGAGGCACTACCCTGGCCCTGTGTGTTTGCAAAGGCGAGCTTGTCTCCCAAGCCCATTCCCCAGGGGCAACTGCTTAGGAAGCCATGTTTATCATCACATGACCCTCCCCTGACTCAGGTCCTTCCTGATGCAGAGGAACCCTGCAGACCTAACATTTACCCAGGTGTCAAGGACTATCACTTCTAGGCCTACTTGCATTCTAAAGGAAGGGTGTTTTTGGACTTCCCTGGTGGTGCAGTGGTTAAGAATCCGCCTGCCAAGGCAGGGGACACGGGTTTGAGCACTGGTCCGGGAAGATCCCACATGCCGCAGAGCAACTAAGCCCGCATGCCACAACTACTGAGCCCGTGTGTCACAACTACTGAAGCTCACTTGCCTAGAGCCCATGCTCCGCAACAAGAGAAGCCACTGCAATAAGTCCACACACTGCAACAAAGAGTAGCTGCTGCTCGCCGCAACTAGAGAAAGCCCGCGCACAGCGACGAAGACCCAACGCAGCCAAAAATAAATAAATTACAAAATAAATAAAGGAAGGGTGTTTTTGTTTGTTTAGTCTTTTGTAACAAAAAGTTCAAAACTTTTTAGAAAGGTTACACCACAGAATACTACTATAATTTTTTTTTATTTTAATGAACAGCTCAGAAGGACAAATGAAAAATGAGTGTCTCTCTTCTCCCCAGTTCCACTCCCTAGAGGGAACCCAACCAAGAGCTTCTGCTTTTAGTTCTCCTGAGATCACCATTATCCCTTTGTGTAATATCATAAATTTGTCCATTTTCAACAGTATCTCTTCTCTCCTCAGTATGAACGATGAGAGATTTAACTCCCTCACTCATGCTCCCTCATCCCCTTTCCTTTGCACATTCTAATTTTTGTTTATGTCTTTCTTTTTTTTCTTTTATGTATTTCTTTTTAGGTCTTGTAGTGGTTGCCTTTATGATGCTGAGTTTCTGTTTCCAAATTATCAACTTCATACACTGACTCCTAAAAGAGAGTGTTAGACACAGGCCAATGGATGAGTCTTTAATGATGAAATTTTAGGCCCTAAGTTAACAGGGTGAGGGAGATGTTTGAGGGCTGGAGGCCAGGATGGTAGCCTAGAAAAGCCCAGGCTTCAGAGGAAGGCTGACAGACCCCAGTTCAAACCCAGCTTTGCCCTGCATTGGTTTAATAACCCTCAAGTTTCACAACCTGAGTCTGTTTTCTCATCTGCAAAATGGGGTTTTGGAGAGGATTAAATGAGATGATGTATGTAAACATTCAGCCTGATATCCAAAACAGAGTCCCTTCTCAATAGACATCCCTTCCCTTCCTTTCTTTGCCTTCTCATCCTCCCTGCCTTCCTGGTGAGGCTCTGTCCGTCAAAGGCTGGCCCTGGAATTTCTCTGCAGTGGCTTCCTTCCTGGTCCTCTTTGGAAGAAGGTGGCAATAAGAAGGGGGTAGGGAGGCCTCTAAAATACAGCCTGTAGACTCAGCTCTTATCTTGATGACCTGTTACATTCTCTGATAGGCATTATTATGGCTGTTCACTCCCTCTTCTGTTTCTGTCTTCTGAAGCGTTTGGGAGCCCTTTCAAGAAAAGGAACCAGATCAGAAGAGTCTATGGGTTTTGTTCATTCATTAACTCATTCATTTAACAAAGATTTTATGAGCTCTTCTTGTAGATCAAGTATTATACTCAGTACTGGGGATTGGTGATCCAAAAAAGACACAGTCTCTGTTTTCATGGAACTTACAGTCTAGTGTAAAAATAAACAAACATTAACCAACTAATCAAATAAATGTAAAACTGCAACTGTATTTAATGATCTGAAGAAAAGGTAAGAGGAGATATAGTAGGAGTTAACTAGGTACAGGGGCCAGCAGGAGTGGAATTGGCAGAAGGCACAGCAATATGCAAAGGCCCTGTGACAGGAGAAAGAGGGTGAGTACAAGGGACTAGAGAAGGTCATTGGAGATGGAACAAAGAGATAAGGGAAGCAAAAGTGAGCCATGAGGCAGACAGGGTGGAGGTATCTACATAGGGCCCTGTCAACCATGTTAAGGAGTTTTGTCTCTATCCTAAGAGCGTTGGGAATAACTGCAAAAGCTTAAGCAAGGGTGGTTGGGTAGACTCACGAGTTCAGATTTAAATTTCCAAAATATCTCCTTAGCTATTGAATACAGAGAGGATCAGAGGGCACAGAAGTCCTGGAGGTCAGTTGGGAGGCCATTGCTGTAGGGCTTGACTGGGGGGGTAGCATTGGTGATAGTGAGAAGTGGACACATTGGAGAGCTATTTAGGCGGTAATATTTAACAGAACTTGGCAATGGATTGGAATATGCAAACTTCATGAATGCCTACATAGGAACACAGACAGGTTCATGCATGAGGGCTCTCTGAGCATATTTCCTCATCTGTAAACTGGGGGTTGGTGAGATTCTGCATGAGCACACAACATGGCCCCTGTGAAGCTCGATGGTACACAAATGAGTTATGCCCATTATTTATAGTGTAAGCCTCCTTATTTACATTCTTCCATCTCAGCATTGACCTACGAGTGTCACTATTCATCAGTAAGTTTGCCCAAGATAGGGGAACTCAAGTTTCAAGATAAGATGTGAAGAAAAACCACCAGGACCACAGGGTCATATCAGGGTGGGGAAATAAAGAGGGTGCAGGCCTGGGCAGAGGCAAGGGTGTCTGCCCTGCTCTCCTGTCCTGGCCTGGCTCCAGTGGTGGGATAAAAAAAGCAGCAGGCAGACCCCATCAGAACTAGACAGGATTTTTGTTTTTATTTTTGTTTTTTAATTTTTCAGCCACGTCACGCACATGTGAGATCTTAGTTCCCCCACCAGGTATCAAACCTGTGTCCCCTGCAGCAGAAGTCTTAACCACTGGACCACCAGGTAAGTCCTTAAAAATTTTTATAATAAAAGAAAAGCATGTTTATTTTAGAAACATTTCTAAATTTTCTAAAACATTTAAAAATTCCCATAATCCTGCCACACAAAACCACTGCTAGCATTCTGGCAAGTTTCTTTCTATTCTCTCTTTTTTTTTTAGTGATTTAAAAAAAAAATTTATTTATTTTTGGCTGCTTTGGGTCTTTGTTGCTACACGCGGGCTTTCTCTAGTTGAGGTAAGCAGGGGTGCACAGGCTTCTTATTGCGGTGGCTTCTCTTGTTGCGGAGCAGACTCTAAGAGCACGGGCTTCAGTAGTTGCAGCATGCGGGCTTCAGTAGTTGTGGCTCGCGAGCTCTAGAGTGAGGGCTCAGTAGTTGTGGCTCACTGGCTTAGTTGCTCCACGGCATGTGGGATCTTCCCGGACCAGGGCTCGAACCCATGTCCCCTGCTTTGGCAGGTGGATTCTTAACCACTGCACCACCAGGCTATGCATATGTATTTAACATAGTTGAGAAAATGATATACAATACATAATTATTTAGAAAACTTTAAAAACTACTATCATTATTATTCAAGAAATAAGTTGAACAGAAACAGACTCACAGATATAACAGACTTGTGGTTGCCAAGGGGAAGCAGGGGTGGGAGAGTGATGGACTGGGAGTTTGGGGTTAGTAATGCAAACTATTACATATAGAATGGATAGACAAGATCACACTGTATAGCACAGGGAACTATATTCAATATCCTGGGATAAACCATAATGGAAAAGAATATAAAAAAGAATGTATATATGTGTATAACTGAGTCACTTTGCTGTACAGCAGAAATTAACACAACATTGTAAATCAACTATCAATTCTACTTTAGGGACTTCCCTAGTGGTCCAGTGGTTAAGAATCCACCTTCCAAAGCAGGGGACACTACGGGTTCAATACCTGGTCGGGGAACTAAGATCCCACATGCTGCGGGTCAACTAAGCCTGTGCACTCTAGAACCCACTCACCACAACTAGAGAGTCCATGCGCCACAACTAGAGAAGCCTGTGCACCACAACGAAGAACCCATGCACCACAACGAAGACCCTACTGCAGCCAAATAAATATATATATTTTAAAATTTATTTATTTATTTTTGGCTGAGTTGGGTCTTTGCTGCTGCACGCAGGCTTTCTCTAGTTGCGGTGAGCAGGGGCTACTCTGTTGTGGTGCGCGGGCTTCTCATTAAGGTGGCTTCTCTTGTTGTAGAGCATGGGCTCTAGGCACGCGGGTTTCAGTAGTTGCGGCATGCAGGCTCAGTAGTTGTGGCGCACAGGCTTAGTTGCTCCGCAGCATGTGGTATCTTCCCCGACCAGGGATCTAACCCGTGTCCCCTGCATTGGCAGGCAGATTCTCAACCACTGTGCCACCAGGGAAGCCCCAAATAAATATTCTTTTTAAAGTCAGTCATTTAAAAAAAAAAAAAACCTATCGGGACTTCCCTGGTGGCACATTGGTTAAGGCTCCATGCTCCCAGTGCAGGAGGCCCAGGTTCAATCCCTGGTCAGGGAAATAGCTCCCACGTGCATGCCACAACTAAGAGTTTGCATGCCACAACTAAGGAGCTGGCGAGCCGCAACTAAGGAGCTCACTTGCCACAACTAAGACCTGGCCCAACCAACCAAATAAATAAATAAATAAAATGTTAAAAAAAAAAACTATCAATACTTCAATAAAAAAATGTTTTAAAAAGACATCTTCG